CTCAGATACTGGAATACTGCTATCATGTCACCCCTTTTCCTTCCTTTCCTATCCAATTCCTGCCACCATTCTTCATGTTTTAGCCTCCAGTCCCCTAATCCTCTTTGTTGCTCTTCTCTGCGCTCTTTCTAGAGTCTCAACCTCTTTTTTTTACATCGTGGCGACCAAAACTGGATGCAGCATTCCACGTCTGACCTTACCCAGGCATTATAAAGTGGTATTAGCACTTCCCATGATCCTGATTCTACCCCTCTATTTAGACAGTATAGGACTGCGTTGGCTTGTTTGGTGGCTACGGCACTATACAATATTAAACATAATAATTTATTAACTGTACATACCATCTGACTCCCAGAGGCTCTGAGCAGTTTACCAATTGTTAAAATGCATTTAAAAACAAGGAAACAACATAAAACCCCCACAAAAGGAACAAAGATGGCAGGGAAAACAAACCTAGATGGAAACAAGGAAAAGAAGAAAAGGGAATTTTTAAAGTTGTCATGGCCTTTTGAAATCCCAGTAAAGATGGGTGCTTAATGTTTGAAAAGAATGGTATTACGGTCACTTTATACTAAAAGGAAAAGATAAAAACAAAGTGAAAGTAAAAATTAAAGGGATATTCATATGCTAAAGGGAAGAACTGGGCAGAATTTTGCTTGAAGAAAGATTGAGACAGGCAATGTGTGGAAGGGAAGATAGAAAGAACAATGAGACTTAGGATGTGAAAATCAGGTTTTTAACTCTTTTGCAGGTCACTGAAAAATGTGTAAGGGGAGAAAGATACTTGATTTGCAGAAAGTATATGATAAAGTGAGTAAAATTTGAACTGTGGGGGTTCAGAATTTTTCACAAATATGAAGTGGAAAGTTGGTTGCTGTATAGAGTGGAGTGGAATAGAACGGAACAGAACAGAACAGAACAGAATAGAATAGAATGGACCTTGGAGGTCATGTAGTCCAACCCCCTGCTCAGACAAGAAACCCTACAACCGTGATGGAGAACCTATGGCATGTGTGCCACAAGTGGCATGCAGAGCCATTTGTGCTGGCACACAAGCCACAGGCAAACTTACTTCACTGCACATGCGCGTGCCTCACAGCTGATTTTCAGCCTGTTTGAGGCCTTTTTCGGCCTGCCGGAGGCTTGAGAAAAGCCTTTGCAGGCTGAAAAATAAGGCCGTTTTGTCACTTCCTGTATTTCCAGAAATACAGGAAGTGACTAAATGGGCCCATTTTTCGGCTTGCAAAGCCTGCAGAAGCTTTCCTCATGTGCACAATTTTTGGCACAGGAGCCCAAAAAGATTAGCCACCAATGCCCTGCAATCATTTCAGACAAATGGTTGTCCAATCTCTTCTTAAAAGCCTCCAGTGCTGGAGCCTTCACAACTTCTGGAGACAAGTCATTCCACTCATTAATTGTTAGAATTAGAATTAGAAGAACTTTATTGTCATTGTACAAGTACAACGAAACAGTGGATGCACCCCAGCAACTGTTCGCAATACAATAAAACCAAGAAATTGTTCTCAGGAAATTAGTTCTAGGTCGAGTCTTTCCTTGATTAGTTTCCATCGGTTGCTTCCTGTCCTTGGACAGGTGCAGGATACAGATTGTCCTCAACTTACGACCTGTCGCTTAGTGATTGTTCCAAGTTATGATGCCCCCCCCCCCCGCCCCCCCCCCCCCCCAAAAAGGCTACTTTACAACCTGATACTGAAGTTACAATGATTACCCAAACATCCCTGGTCCCTTGATCACATTTTGGACACTTGCCAACCAGCTCAATTTTACGGCCGTTTGCAGCATCCTGAGCTCACGTGACCAGGATTTGCAATGGGTTGGGTTTTTTTTTGCAAGTTTCTGATGTTTACTTCTGTTTTCTGCCCCAAAACACCCATTGGGTAAAATGGATTTCCTAAATGACCACAGCATTTGCTTAATAACTCTTAGCTTAACTTCTAACAAAAACATCAAACCATCAGATTTGGCCACATACTACCTAAACTTATGACGATAATGACTTCCGATCATAATTCCAATTACTTCCGGTTTCCGGCCCAAAATGCCCACTAGGTAATGGATTCAATTAAACAGTGTTCCAATATCTAAGGGACTGCCACCAGGAAGAAGGAAGTCAAGCTATTCTCCAAAGCACCTGAGTGCAGGACAAGAAGCAACGGATGGAAACTAATCAAGGAGAGAAGCAACTTAGAACTATGGAGAAATTTCCTGACAGTGAGAACCAATTAATCAGTGGAACTACTTGCTTCCAGAAGTTGCGAATGCTCCATCATTGGAGGTTTTTAAAGAAGAGATTGGACAACTATTTGCCTGAAATGGTAAAGGGTTTCTTGTCTGGGCAGGGGGTTGGGCTAGAAGACCTCCAAGGTCCCTTCCAACTCTGTTATTCTATTCTGTTATTCTGTTCTATTCCAATTACCATGGCATTTCCTTAACAACTGCTATGTTGAGTTAACTGCCAAGAAAAATGTCAAAACATCAGGTGCAACCACATAATGCCCCTTCTTACAATTGCAATGACACACAACCATAATTCCAGGTTCAGTTGAAGTCGTAAATTGAGGAATATCTTTATAATGAAAATAGGGCATGAATGAGAGTCAGTGGAATGCTGAATGAACACAGGTAGTCCTCAACTTACAACAGTTCATTTAGTGACCATTCAAAGTTACAACGGCACTAAAAAGTGACAGGACCGGTTTTACGACCATTGAAGCATCCCCATGGTCACGTGATCAAAATTCAGGCACTTGGCAATGGACTCATATTTACGACGGTTGCAGTGTCCCAAGGTCATGGGATCCCCTTTAGCGACAAGCGAAGTCAGTAGGGAAGCCAGATAGTTACTAATTCAACAGCTGCTAAGATCCATGGCCAGAAAAGTCTTAAAATGGGGCAAATCTCATTTAACAACTGTCTCACTTAGCAACCAAAATTTTGAGCTCATCAGTGGTCGCTAAGTTGAGGGTTACGTGTAGTTCAGCATTGAGCAGAGTGGTAAAGACGTAAAGATGATGTCCCCTTAATTATTTGATACCCCAGTGTGACTAAAAATAAAAGGATTGTTTATGGTGATAGCAGGGATGTGTGAGCAGAAAACTTAAATGTGCATGTGCTTTTTATCAGACAATGCCATGCTGTTGGCTGGCCCAAGGATCTACAATGAATGATAGACAGTATGATGCAACGAAGGGGAAAGATTGTAAAAGGAACGTAGCAAAGTCCAAGGCAGTTGGTGTTTTGCAGGAAGAATGGTGTGAATGATTGCAAGTTATACATAAATTGCAAAACCAAACCAAACCAAACCAAGATAAAGTAAGTAAATAAGTAAGTAAGTGCAAGGATCGGTTGTCACTTTTTTCAGTGCTAATCGTATCTTTGGATGGTCAAGAAACAAATAAGTTGAGGACCACCTGTGAGAGGAATTCTTCTAGTGGTACAGCAGACAGATTCAGGAAAGGGATTTAAGCAGAAGGTTAGTGTCCGTGTCATGCCCTTGTTGGAATCTGATTCTGAGGGGGCGATTGAGCAGCTGACAAGGAGTGGGAGTGTGGATCCGGTGGCTGTGGAAGAAACAGGGGAAGGGCACAGTCCGGCTGGGCATTCAGAGGAAGACCCAGGGCCATCCCCTCATCATCCTAGGGCACGTAGGGAGGAACGGAGAAGGGAGCAAAGTGGCTTACGAGAGAGAAGGCGGCCCTGATCCCTTTCATTAGTTGCAGCTGGGAGAACAGGATATAAGTGGGGCGTTTGCACACAGCTCCTTGCTGGAAGCAAAGCGTGCATTATCTTGGTCGAGGCTTATCTGGGTTTTGGCGTCATCCCAACTGTGGGTGTTGCGTTAACCTTTGGAAGTCTGCAATTTATCATCCTGGCCTTCAGTGTGGTTTGTGTTGGTTTTTTTTTATTTCTAATTATCTTTACTTTGGGTTCGGACTGCATTCTCGTAGACTGTTTTTTTGAAGAGTTTGTTATCCAGCCGAGGATAATTGGACATTGGGGCAAAGTTGGAGGCATTAAAGGGAATTTATTCTACTTTTGTGACTTGGTTATTTTTTGTGTCATGCTCCGGGTCATCACAGTCAGCTTTGGAAGCCATATTTTACTTAGAAGCTCAAAGCTGCCACATTTTAGTGCCTGGGAATTTGGGAGCGGGGAATGGCATAGAGTGGTAGAAAGTTAGGCTCAACAGCATTCTTCTCATAAAGTCAAGGACAAGTCACCCTGCACCTGGGAAGGAGTGTCTGGATGAATGTATTAAGTTGGGACGATGATTGATTGGGCCATGTAATGTATTGATGGGTGCAGGGGGTGGGGTTTGTGAATTTCAATTGGGAAGGGAAAACTCAGAACTCTCAGATTTGGGTTTTCCCAAATGTGCCAGTATGACTTCTTCAGTAAATTCTGACTTGGGTGAACTTTCTTTCTTTCTTTTTTTTTAAACACGTTTGATTCAGTTTTCCATATTTTAATGTCTCTTTTTAGTGAACAGCATGATTGCAGGTTTCACATATACATACAAATATGACTATATTCAAATTTTTATATCCAATTCCTTATCTTAATAGTGCTTTTATACATTTTCTATTTTATTGTATTATTCCAAATATTGA